TCCCTACCTACCTACCTACCTACCTACCTACCTACCTACCTACCTACCTACCTACCTACCTACCTACCAACCAACTCACACACGAATACACCATAGGATTTTCAGAAATCACAAATCCTAGCTGTCCATTTCAGGCACAGAAGATGTGGTACAAATCACACCTGTGATACAAAGCTACATGTTGTGGAAGTTAAATAAGAAAACACTGATTCCCTGTTTATAGCACTGATTCATTAAACCCTGTGATCCATGTTTCAGATTAACAATTGACTGTATAAACTGGATTTTGGCCATGAATTTAATTTGGATGCACAAAATATGCCTATGTTTTCATCCTAGGAAAATATACAAAAGACTATCTCTGTTCTCTGCAGTTACTGGCTGGTTTAACCAACAGTCCTGCGTACTTTAGTTGGCACAACAATTGTTTAGACCACCCCCCACCCCACCCCATTGGGAACTGCTATAAATTTCCTGTGGCTCCTCTGAGTTCAGAACAGATGGCTTGAATCAAAGATTCCAGACCTGGTTTGGGAGCTGGAATTAGTGGCTTCTTTGTGTTTTAGAAGGACTTGGGTGTTGCTGACAAGTATGAATGAGCTGTAGCTACACCAAAAAAAGAAGAAGAAAAAGAAAAAAGAAAAGAAAAAATTAAATTAAAAAAACCCAAGAATACGTCAGCAGAGAAATTCTATGGCAGGAAGCAAGTTGGTTATGCATGTTACAGAAATTCTGCACAACTCTGGAATCACAAGCTTCTTTTGATGCAAACGCTACTATAGCAAACCCAAAATTGTTAGGAAATGCCATCTCATGTGACATGTTAAATCAAAATCTGAATGATTATGTTCTTTCTCTCTGTGCATTTATGTATGTTTGCGTTTATATACGATGACAGACATATAACATCCTAACAGCTTTCTCTCCCTGTGGGTTTTTGTATAACCAAAGCCTTTACTAACATCCTACCTGTGTAATGTGATTAAATTATCTGTTTCAACCCACTTCCTGCATTTTGGTACTAAGAGTCTGCATAAATTGAATGATTACCAGTCTAACAAAGCAGTATCTGACTGTATTCCCCATTCCGACTCCAAACATCTGTCCCAAGGAACAGTTATGTGTGATGTGAATATTTCTTATCCAAAGGTTATACACTAACTTTAAAGCCATCTTTGTAGTGTCTCAGTTGCTCACTACAAATCACGTTGGGTTTTTTTTTGTTGTGGTTGTTGGGTTTTTTGTTTTGTTTTTTGTTTTTGTTTTTTTGCTGACTGTGCCTCTTGCAGCTGACAATGCTCTTCTTAAAAGTGTAACTAGAAACCTGGGAGCTGGGGGAATATCAGGACAGGTTGGAACAGAAAACATGCAAGCAGGACCCAGCTGGAATGAAGGCCTA